CGCGTGGTCTCTGCGCGGAGTGAGCTTGGGCCAAGTGGTGAATAAGTTTGAAGGACTAAGTGCTCGTTCGAGCGTAAGCTATGATTCATAAATGTATAGGCCTTAAATCTTTCTCATGCTATCTGAGAACCATAGATACGTATGTCAGGTAGGGATTACAAATATAGATGATTTACTTTTGGGACTGGCCAGCTCGAGTGGTGAATTATCTTATTTTGGATTCTTGTGCCCGAGTACGAAAAGGGATGAAAGCCTAGGTTAGAAATGATTTGGGCACATTAGAAATCTGTTTCTACAGAACTTTATATGATGTGTTAGGAATCACTAAGAATGATGAACCCTGCCTAAGATCTAAATTGTGGTATTCTTGTAGATTATAGATGGAACCCTAGGGGGAAGCTTTTCGTTAGTTGCTAATGACCCCATCACTTCCACAGGATTTCTTTTGCTTGTATTTGACTGACTGTTACTATGTGAATTGTTTGATATAGTCGTGTTATATGTATATTTGCTTTTGAATCGATTTGGACGTATTATATATATATATATCTGACTTACTGACCTCGCCAGTTTGTATCTTGTATTCGCGCCTCGAGCCTAGATTAGTTAATCCAATGGAAGGAACGCATAGTGGACGAGGCCGGGGCTGTAGACGTAGGCAACCCTCGAATGAAAGGAAAAATCGGGAACCAATGCCTGAACCCAATCCTGAACCTGGAGTGGATCCTAACATTTAGGTAGCTGCGGCTATCCAGCGCATGACTGATCTTTTAGCCCACGTAGTAGAGCATCAGGGCCAAAACCCTAATTCTCAACCTGGAAACCATGGTAACCATATAGAGGGGGAGGATAGGGCTCTCGAACGATTTCAGAAGTTCTCGCCACCGAAATTCCTTGGGGGACCAGACCCTGACGTGGCCGAGAGGTGGCTAGAAAAGATGATTGATATCTTTGCCGCGTTACACTACACTGAGGAGCGACAAGTGACATTTGCCGTCTTCCAACTGGAAGGAGCGGCTCGATCTTGGTGGTATGTCATAAGACTAAAATGGGAAAGAGAACAAACACCGAGGACGTGGGTGAATTTCATGAGGGAGTTCAACACGAAGTATTTTCCACCTCTGATTCAGGAAAAGAAAGAGGATGAGTTCATTAGGCTTCGTCAAGGAACTCACACTGTCGTCGAATATGAGATCCAGTTCACCAGATTGTCTAAGTTCGCTCCCGAACTAATTGTGACTGAGCAAAGGCGGATAAGGCGTTTCATCCAGGGATTAAATGTTGAGATTCAGAAAGACCTGGCCGTCGCCCAACTCAGTACCTTTAGTGATGCTGTAGAAAAAGCTCAACGAGTTGAAAATGCGAGGTTACAAGTCAAGAACTTCCAAACCAAGAAAAGGGGATTTCCTGGAAGTAGTTCGGAGTAAGGGGATAAAAGTACGCCTCCTAAGATTGGAAGGGGAAACGGAGGAGTACAACTACCGGAGATATCAAGTGGTGCATCACCGAGAGGCTTAGTCTCCGCTTCCCGTGGTCCCTGCGGGTACTGTGGGAAGCTAAATCACACGCTGGAAGAAATGAAGAAAATGCCTACGTTGCGGGAGTGCATATCATCAAATTGCTAATTGCCCAGGCAGATCTCAAGAAGGCGGTGATAATCGACAATCAACCAAGACCAACTCTAACCAGTCGAAGGGAGAAAGGACTGGACCAAAAGTGTCGGATCGGGTATATTCCCTAGAGTCACATCAAGCCCCTGACCCGTCTGAAGACGTAGAAGGTACGATCCGCCATTTACGTTAGATTTGATAGACCCTGATGGTAAGAAAATTTCGAGGACGAAATTTCTTTAAGGGGGAGAGAGTGTGAGAACCCGTAATTTTCTTAATTTCTAGGTTTTATTTTATTCTAATTGCACACCTTTCCACATTTTCTTTATTCGAAAAATTTTAAAAATAATTTTTATGAACAAATATGATTTTTAAATTATTTTTCTAGTATAAGTTAGTTCATGAGATTTTAAGAGTATATACCGGATGTGGGACCCACTAGTGCGGTAAGTTCGATAAAATTCGGCCAACTACATTAAGTTTTGTATACCGGATTTAATTTATCAGGTGTTAAGAGATAATTAGAGGTTATCTAGACGGATTATCATTGGAGAGACAAAAGGATAGAGTTGCATTAAAAAGGGTGACAAGTATCACCTTCCTATTCAATCTTGACTTTTACTACTATTCATTAACTTTACTAAATATCTAATTTGGACCCAAAATCATCTTCATTCATCAGCATCTTGGCCGAGCACCTTGGAGAGAAAAAGAAAGTAAAAGCTTCCAACTTATTTCTTCATTTCTTGCTTTAATCTTACAAACCAACCGTTAAAACTTCGATTTCCTCCATAAAAGCCACTTGCTAAGGAAGATTGAAGGTAGTGGTGGAGTGATTAGAGAAGGGAAAGGACTAAGCCATCACCTTTCTTGAGATTTCAAGGTATCATGTCTAGCAATCCTTTCTTTGTTCTTAATCATGTGAAACTAATGACTTGTGTTAGTCATAGAGTTGGTTTTGTGCAAGATTTTGTGACTTTTGACGGAGATTGGTGAATTTTCATAATTATTCATGATTTTTCTGTTTTTATATATTTAATATTGGTTGGCCATGGATGATGGCTTGGAATGGTCTAGAATGAAGCTTTGATGCATAAATTGTAGCTATTTGCGGAAAATTTCCGCTTTGTACCGAAATTTCCAGATTAGTGTTTCAACTAACCCCTGTTCTGCCCGGTTCCATTCGGCTAGGTTGAAGGCCGAATCAGTCTTAATTTAAAACATGAAAGTTGTATAAAATGATGTTTTATAGTTGTCTGTAAATTTTCAGCTCAATCCGAGCTCCGTAGCTTGTGAAAAGACAGAAATACCCCCAGACTGCCCTAGGTAGAGTTCGGTGGACAGAGTTGACACATCATCCAATCTGACCGAGACTTGTCACCCTGATCCTTACCGAATTGGAATTTGGCCAAAATACAAAAGTTGTAGTGCTGTGTCTTAGCTTTCCAACGGCCCTAGAAATACTTCAATTGGACTTTGGTAGCCTGCGTTATGGTCATTTTACCATAACACGGTTAGCTAACCTGTTTGTACGATTCTGGTTTGGTATATTACAATTTCGACCTAGCTACACTATGAACTGGACAGAGTGGTCTTCATCAAAGTTGTAGGCCTTTGTCTTAGCTTCTAAATGGTATAAATTTCAGCCCAATCCGATAAGTGTAGCTCCAGTTGGGTCCATTCCGCTAAATGACGTTAAAACTGTCTTTTGGTTTTAGGGCATAAACTTCATTTTCGGACATTCTTCTAACTTGAATTTGTACTTGTACCACTTTGAGCCTATTGAACGGATATTGAAATGAGATTATTTTGTGTGTGATTTTGGAATTGATTGAGAAAAACAATGAAGCCATAAATGGCTGGAAAATAGGTAAATACAGAGGGCATGCTGCCCAAAATTTTAGGGCTACGCGATTCTTTCAAGTTGAGTTGATCTTGGTAAAAATGATGGGTTTTGGGAGTTGTTTGTAACTCTAGGACCAACTGTTATCCTTTTTGTTCAAAAGTCATATTTTATTCTTCTGTATTAGTACTTAACCTGGAAAGGCGTACAACATGTAGTCGAGCCTCATTTATGCATTTCATTTACTGGATTTGTGACTGTGAGAACCATAATTGTTTACCTTGGTTATTCTAGGGTTTCTTGGTGATTAGAGCCCTACCTTGGTTGAAACTTTTGATGTATCCTTGCTTTAATTGTGAGTGCACCACTCTCCTGAATTATTGCTAAACCGGTTTTTTGTACTTGCAACTTGCTATTTGAATGTCTTTCCTGACTGTTTATCCTGTATGAGACGAGAATGTACTTTATCACACTCGTTCTCATGCCTGTACTGAATGAACTGAAATTTATTACTTGTACTTGTTATGTACTTGAACTTGTTACTTGCACTTGTTATGAGATCGTTTGGAAGTGTGTCCAATGATCTTCCTGTTAAACTTGAGATCAACCTCATGGGGAGTTAATTAAATCGAGCCAGCAAGGGCTTGGTCGAGATAATTGACAATCCATGGGAACCTGTTCCTCTTGTTTCCTCATGTTTATGTAACATATGTATTCGGAAATGTACATTCTCGCATGTCAAACAATGGTTACTTGTACTTGGTTGGATTGTGACGTTGCAGCGGGCCTTCCATTTCGTTTGGATTCCTGTAGTTTTATTCCGGTTTCGATTGAGGTTTGACTGAGTCCCGGCGAGAGTTGGGCAAGCGGTTCGCCGAACCCTTTGGTTCGCCTTAGGGTGAGGTGGGGCTGTCACAGGTGGTATCAGAGCCTGCTTCGTGTGGTCTCTGCGCGGAGTGAGTTTGGGCCAAGTGGTGAATATGTTTGAAGGACTAAGTGCTCGTTCGAGCATAAGCTATGATTCATAAATGTATAGGCCTTAAATCTTTCTCATGCTATCTGAGAACCATAGATACGTATGTCAGGTAGGAATTACAAATGTAGATGATTTACTCTTGGGACTGGCCAGCTCGAGTGGTGAATTATCTTATTTTGGATTCTTGTGCTCGAGTACGAAAAGCGATGAAAGCCTAGGTTAGAAATGATTTGCGCGCATTAGAAATCTTATTCTACGGAACTTTATGTGATGTGTTAGGGATCACTAAAAATGATGAACCCTGCCTAAGATCTAAATTGTGGTATTCTTGTAGAATAAAGATGGAACCCTAGGGGGAAGCTTTTCGTTAGTTGCTAATGACCCCCTCACTTCCACAGGATTTCTTTTGCTTGTATCTGACTGACTGTTACTATGTGAATTGTTTGATATAGTCGTGTTATATGTATATTTACTTTTGAATTGATTCGGACGTATTATATATATATCTGACTTACTGACCTCGCCAGTTTGTATCTTGTTTTTGCGCCTCGAGCCTAAATTAGTTAATCTAATGGAAGGAACGCGTAGTGGACGAGGCCGGGGCTGTGGACGTAGGCAACCCTCGAATGAAAGGGAAAATCGGGAACCAATGTCTGAACCCAATCCTGAACCTGGAGTGGATCCTAACATTCAGGTAGCTGCGGCTATCCAGCGCATGACTGATCTTTTAGCCCACGTAGTAGAGCATCAGGGCCAAAACCCTAATTCTCAACCTGGAAACCCTGGTAACCATATAGAGGGGGAGGATAGGGCTCTCGAACGATTTCAGAAGTTCTCGCCACTGAAATTTCTTGGGGGACCAGACCCTGACGTGGCCGAGAGGTGGCTAGAAAAGATGATTGCTATCTTTGCCGCGTTACACTACACTGAGGAGCGACAAGTGACATTTGCCGTCTTCCAATTGAAAGGCGCGGCCCGATCTTGGTGGAATATCATAAGACTGAAATGGGAAAGAGAACAAACACCGAGGATGTGGGTGAATTTCATGAGGGAGTTCAACACGAAATATTTCCCACCTCTGATTCAGGAAAAGAAAGAGGATGAGTTCATTAGGTTTTGTCAAGGAACTCAAACTGTCGTCGAATATGAGAGCTATTTCACCAGATTGTCTAAGTTCGCTCCCGAACTAATTGTGACTGAGGAAAGGCAGATAAGGCATTTCGTCCAGGGATTAAATGTTGAGATTCAGAAAGACCTGGCCGTAGCCCAACTCAGTACCTTTAGCGATGCTGTAGAAAAAGCTCAACGAGTTGAAAATGCGAGGTTACAAGTCAAGAACTTCCAAACCAAGAAAAGGGGATTTCCTGGAAGTAGTTCGGAGAAAGGGGGTAAAAGTACGCCTCCTAAAATTGGAAGGGTAAACGGAGGAGTACAACTACCGGGGATATCAAGTGGTGCATCACCGAGAGGCTCAGTCTCCGCTTCCCGTGGTCCCTGCGGGTACTGTGGGAAGCCAAATCACACGGAGGATATCTGCTGGAAGAAAGGAAGAAAATGCCTACGTTGCGGGAGTGTGGATCATTAAATTGCTAATTGCCCAGGCAGATGTCGAGAAGGCGGTGATAATCGACAATCAACCAAGACCAACTCTAACCAGTCGAAGGGGGAAAGGACTGGACCAAAAGTGTCGGCTCGGGTATATTCCCTAGAGTCACATCAAGCCCCTGACCCATCTGAAGACGTAGAAGGTACGATCCGCCATTTACGTTAGATTTGATAGACCCTGGTGGTAAGAAAATTTTGAGGACGAAATTTCTTTAAGGAGAAGAGAGTGTGAGAACCCGTAATTTTCTTAATTTCCAGATTTTATTTTATTCTAATTGCACGCCTTTCCACATTTTCTTTATTCAAAAAATTTTAAAAATAATTTTTATGGGTAAATATGATTTTTAAATTATTTTTTTAGTATAAATTAGTTCATGAGATTTTAAGTGTATATACCGGATGTGGGACCCACTAGTGCGGTAAGTTCGATAAAATTCGGCCAACTAGGTTAAGTTTTGTATACCGAGTTTAATTTATCAGGTGTTAAGAGATAATTAGAAGTTACCTATGTCGCGCCCCATTTTTTAATAAAGAAAAATAAATGACGAGTTTAGAAAAAATGGTTTTTTGATTCAATTTTTGGTTGAAAAATGAGTTTTTGATTTTTTTAGAAAATAAAGAAAAATATGGGTCTAAATGGGACTTGAAAATGCGACGATTTGACCCAAAATATAGTTTAAAAAGGGTTTTTTGAATGAAAAATGGAATCGCCATTTGGTATAGAGTTAAGGTGTACCAAGTCACCAAAAATTGAATTTTTTAAAAAAAAAAAAGTAGAAAACCCTTTTTAAATGACTCCAAATCTACGAAAATCAGAGAAAAAGATTCAGGAGTCACATTTGAAGAAAGGAAAGGCAAGGATAAGAATCCAAGGCACCCTTTCAACCTAGTCAAGGCTAGTTGCACGATTTAGTCAAAAATTTTCTTATTTTAATCTAAAGATTTATCCCATTTGGCTGTACTATATGAATGCAAACCCTGGACCAAGGAGGGTGTCGAGGGGTCAAAATGTATTTTCAATGCTTACTTGGGTACCAATCACATTAATTGTGACGCCCAATAAAGACTCTTCGAAGAAATCACAAATAATACAAGTCATGAGACTCGAAAGAAAGAAGAAGTAAAGAAAATAATGATATACAAATGTGTATGACCTAAAGGAATGCATCATAATGGGTGCGGGGACTTATACTCGTGACTTTCAATGTTCCGTTTAATAGAGGGAATACGAGCGTGCTAAGGTTAGAAAAGCCAAACTCGTCCATATCCCATATTCAAGAGGGTTTTTCCTAGTTTAATCAAGCAAATGTACTAACCTAAGTCTAATGCTTAGATGAAATGCAAGTCTAATGTCATGTTTCATACAAAGGGGTAAGTAATATACATATAAGGGAAGATATGGGGGAAGGGATATACGTATAAGGAGGGATGTCATGCAAAAAATGATAAATGACCCTAAAAAGTGAAAAATATGTATGAGAATGTAATGTAGTCATACAAGCATGATCTAGCGTAGGAGATCCCTAAGGGTCTAGCATTGGACTAGTCCATATCTATGAATTCTCACTAGCATTGGACTAGTGAGAAAAGTCGGAACAAAGGACCACAACTAGCGTTGGACTAGTGTGTATTCGGGAAAGAAACCACAACTAGCATTGGACTAGTGTGGTGACATCACACATTCATTACAATCAAATAAATCATGTAAAGCCTAATAAAGCAAATAAACACATAAATCACACATAGCACATAACACATAAGCATGGTATCTAGATGTAAGACCCTAAGAAAGCGGTAACACATAGCACGTAAGCATGCAAATCACACAAGCAAACAAACCCTAACTATTACACTTGGGGAGGCCCTACTACAATCTAGGGGGGAAAGAAATAAATAAATAAAATAATAACCTAACTATTACAACCTTGGCATTAAATTGCTTTTCAAATAATCAAATTGAACTAATATAAATATACAAAGCCAATAAAGCAAATAAATAAATAAATAAAATGAATAAAAAAACATTCAAGAGGCATACAATCAAACATGTAAAGTCACATAGGGCACGTAGAGTCAAATAAAGTGAGAAATAAGGGATAGGGTGTACCTCCCTTGATTTGGCGCTCTAATGGAGTGAGATCACTTATTTATCCTCCAAAATAAAAGAAGAGTCAAAGCATCATTTTAATTAAGAAATAATCACGTGAAATGGGAATAAGCATGAAATTGAATCAATCAAAGGCACTTGAAAGAAGGCAATCAACCCATGCTTAAGGAATTAAAACAAGTAGGGACTTAATTGCAAGGATTAACAAAGTTATGGGGATCAAATCATAATCATCACAATGATCTGAGGTCAAAAGTAGAGAAAACACAAATTTTAAGGACCTATTTACAATTAAATTAGGGACTCAATTGAAAGCATTGAAAGTTTGTAGGGCCATAGTGAAATTAAAGAAAAGTACAGGGACTGATCTGCAAATTCATTTGCTGGTTTCTTAATGGATCAGGCCACTGGGCCATTTTTTTATTTGTTTGGGCCTAAGACTCTCCCCAGCCCAACAGAAATTCAGAGCAACAGGAATGGACCCATCTACCATTTATGACCCCAAGATTAGCCCACAAAACCGGTGGACTTCTTCCCTCTAGCCCAAACTAAAACCCAAAAATAATAAACTCAAACACACTCCCTTGAACCCAAGTAAAATAATCTCTCAACCCAAAACACCTTTTCACAAGAACCCAACATGATAAAATCAACAAAAATTATTAAGCCACAATTATGACCTAAAAACAAGAGTTAATCTACATAAAAGACTAGTTAAAAAGATTAAGAGATGATTAACATCTAAAAAGGTCGAAATAAATTCAACTTTTCCAAATTTGGGATTCAAAATACAATTCAAATGAGGACTTATCTGAAAGATTGATAAAAGCTTTGAGGTTGAATTATGAAGTTCTAAAACTTTGGGATTAGATTACCAAGAAGGAGAAAATAAAGGGTCTAAAATTGTAATTTTGGAGAAGTCATCATCTTCTTCACCGAGTAACATCGATCAACATTTCCATTCTTTTCAATCAGCAATACCAGAGATTTAGTTTCAGTTGCAATCATTCCAACAGACAACAAAATTTCCACAAACAAAAAACTCCATCTCCTAACATTAATTCGGATTCATACGATGGGAAACAAAAGGAACAGCAAAAATGTAAGACAACAATGCATCAAAAGTTCTCAAACGTGAGGAAAGGAATTGGCTGGCTTAGCCGTTTTCTTCACACGGAAATGCAGACAAGTTATCTTTCAATTAAAAAAATCTCAGTTGGGCATTTCATCAAACAGGTCAGGGGCATTGGCCGGCCTAGCCGTTTTCTTCACACGGAAATGTAGACAAGTTATCTTTCAATTAAAAAAAATCTCAGTTGAGCATTTCATCGAACAGGTCAGGGGCCTTAAAAAATTTCACCAATTCTTTGCCCAATTGAAGTTAATCGGCCCCAAAATTGTTCGAAAACAAAGAAAGTCAGCCCAATCAACGTATGCATCAAGTGTATTCAGAAATTAAGGCCAATTAACAGGAAATTTGCACTAAATAATGCCACGGCAGACCCATTTTAATCGCTTGAAAAGGACTGAAACTTAAAAAGAAAAACTTACAGTGCTCTCAATTTCTGAAGTTGAAGTGAACCTGGATGGTGGCGGCGCTGGTGGTGGTCGACGGACAGCAGCAGCAGCATCGTGGGGTACTCGTTTGCCCTGATCTTGATCATTAGAAATGGAATTTGAGTCCACTGTTTTTTGGCCCAAACCCTTCACCTTCGTTGCCTTCATTTGCTCTGTTTTCGTCTCGTCCGCCGCCTCTATTTTTCCTCCCCGTTTTGCTCTCACGGAAGTTCCTTCTCCTTTCCCCAGATTTTTCTTCTCGCCAAGCTCCCAAACCTCTCTTGCGTTTTTACTCTTCTTTTTCCTTTTTCCGCAGCCCCTCCTTTTGCCTCACGAAGCTCTCCTCTTCTCCTCCACCGAGAGCCCCCCCTTTCCTTTTCTTGTTCGTTTTTCTCTTTTCGGTCATCCCCAATCCTTTTTCTTTTTTTCTGTTTTATTCCTCGGTTCGCCGAAGCTTTCATGCCCAAAACCTAGCCGCCCCTCTCTGTTTTTCTCCCTCTGTTTCTTTTCCTCTCCCCCAAGCTATCATACCAGAAACCTCCTCCCTTTCCCCCCGTCAGCTTTTTTCTTTTTTTTTTTAAACTCAGCCGCCACACTCTTGCTTTCTTCTGCTCCCAAAAATCTGTTTCTCCAACCCCTTTTTTCAACTCTCTCCGTTCTCCCTTTTTCTCTGCTGATCCCTTTTCAGCCGTCCAAAATCCGCCCCCTTTTTTTCCTCCACCTAAGCCGTTCTTCCAATCCTCCCTTTGCTCCCTCTCTTTTTCTCCTTTTTTTTTTCTTTTTCAAAATCCCTATCCTACAAGTGTCTAGACACCTTGCCATCTAGGTGATGTGTTGTTAAAAAACAAGAAGGGACACTTGTCCCACATGCAAGTTTCCACTTGTCATTTTTTTTTTCCTTTTTCTTCTTTTTTCTTTTTTTTCTGAAAATTAGTAGATAAAAAAATGCTCTTAAACCAATTAAAATAAAATAAGAGACACGAAACAGGAATAAAATAAAATAAACCTAAAATTGAAACAAATAAATCTAAAATTAAACTAATTAAATAAATAAAGTTCGAAACCAAAAATTTGGTGTCTACAACCTAGATGGATTATCATTGGAGAGACAAAAGGATAGAGTTGCATTAAAAAGGGTGACAAGTGTCACCTTCCTATGCAATCTTGACTTTGACTACTATTCATTAACTTTACTAAATATCTAATTTGGACCCAAAATCATCTTCATTCATCATCATCTTGGTTGAGCACCTTGGAGAGAAAAAGAAAGAAAGCTTCCAACTTATTTCTTCATTTCTTGCTTTAATCTTACAAACCAACCGTTAAAACTTCGATTTCCTCCATAAAAGTCACT